CAAATATTTAAACTGAAATATTTACAAATGTTTTTGTGTTTACAAATATTTAAACTGAAATATTTACAAATGTTTTTGTGTTTACAAATATTTAAACTGAAATATTTACAAATGTTTTTGTGTTTACAAATATTTAAACTGAAATATTTACAAATGTTTTTGTGTTTACAAATATTTAAACTGAAATATTTACAAATGTTTTTGTGTTTACAAATATTTAAACTGAAATATTTACAAATGTTTTTGTGTTTACAAATATTTAAACTGAAATATTTACAAATGTTTTTGTGTTTACAAATATTTAAACTGAAATATTTACAAATGTTTTTGTGTTTACAAATATTTAAACTGAAATATTTACAAATGTTTTTGTGTTTACAAATATTTAAACTGAAATATTTACAAATGTTTTTGTGTTTACAAATATTTAAACTGAAATATTTACAAATATTTCTGTATTTACAACCGTTTAATTACCGAAACAATTCTCCACAAATCTTTCTCCCATTCTTCCATGTGTGATGCGCTATCTTGTAAAAAAGTGTTATTTGTATAACATTCATAAGCAAAGCAACAAAAACCAATACAAATATGTAGACGGACGGCATGCAAAAGACAAGTACGGACGGACGGCATGCTAAAGCCTTAAGAACCGCACATTTCTTTGGACCTGATAATCTTCTCAAGTAACTGCCGTCGTTCGACACCGGTGGAACGCTGGTCGAATTTGCCGGCCTGAATGACCTTCTCGTCAACGTTCAGTTTGTATCGTGCCGCTGCCAGAATCTTCTCCTCAATGCTGTTCACGGTCACCAATCGCAGAACACGCACCTCACGCGATTGCCCAATACGATGGGCACGATCTTGTGCTTGCATATCCTCAAATTATAATCTTAGTCTTTGCTCTGAGCAGAACATTTATTATCGCTGTACTCCGAACAGAATCAATGTGAACAACCGATTACAGTGAAAAAATGCAAAAACATCACCGAAACAATGAAACTGATTAAGAAAGAGGCGTCGTCAACTCGTGAAATGGACTGACTGGC